CCGGGCACCAGATCCAGCTGCTACCACTGAAACTGACCAGGGGCTGACTACAGGAAGCCGAGGCAGAGTTGCACTGCCCCCAGCTTCCTGGAATCAGCCTGATCAGTTTCAACAGCTGCTGGGCGGCTTTGCTCGGGTGTCCCTGGTCTGCTGGGGGGGGTCCAGCAGCTTTGCTGGACCCCCTCCCCAGCAGACCAGGGAGACCGGGAGAAGCTTTTCTCGCCCCGTAGGACATGGGTGGCGACCCGCCGCCCGTGAGCTCCGGGGCGAAAAAAGCCCCATTCGTAAGTGCGGATCCGACGTAAGTCGGGGACTGCCTGTAGTTCATTTGCTGTTAAGTAACTTGTGCAGATGTACCAAATATAGTTGCCATTAGTAATTGGTCACCTTTGGTAGTCAGCCAGCAGCCATCTGCAGTGGCTGGTGGCAACAAAAGCCATTTATGTAACTTGAAAATTGCAGAGCTCTTCCAAGCAGTATTCTCATCCTTCCCTAAAATCACAAAGGGGGAAGCACTGCTATACTGCTTATCATTTTTCTATGACCTCTCCACTGCCAGTTTTCAAAGTCCTTACAGTTGTCATGCTCTCGGCAGGCTGATTTATCCCCAAGACTAAAGGTCTTGTGATTTGGCTTTCTCTCTGGATTCTTCTATACATCTAATCATGGACTTTTTCCTTGTGTTCTTTCTACACTCTGTTAAAATATAGCATCTATTCATCTGACACCAGAATAAGCCATTCTGATTATTTTAAACCTTCATTCACAATTTTACAATATTAAGAAACTTTAACTCCAGGCACTTCTCATGTTAGAGAATGAGACTATACTTAACTATGCATAAATATCCCCAAACACTTTCCTTAATAAAGAATCAAGTGTTTTCATTTTCAGAAAGTTACATGAATAGAACATTCTGATCCGGTACATTTCACAGGTATGAAAATCCAAGTGAAGACAGACCATTTAGGTCAGATTACATTAATGTCCAAAAGATCAGACATTAAACTGGTAAACTTAGAGAAATCCTATTTAAAACTAACTGGGGGCTCAGAATTAGAATTAGGGGAGCAGTATGCCTGTATAGGTTTAGTTAACATGACCATTGATTCAATCAGTTCTTTTCTCACATGGCTGGTTTCAGAGAGAACTCTCTAGAGGACTGTTTTCCAACTTGTTTTTCCTTTACTCACGTGAAATTTTGTGATGGATTTTTCATGGAAAAAACACACAGTAGCATTTGGTTTTACTTTTTTTTTTTTACTGGGGATAATGAATTGCTTCTCCTTGCAGTAATTGATAACCCACATTGACTATCTGGCACAGCACATGATTTAAATCTTATCTCTTTCAACATGCACTGTTGATTAGTTTGGGCTCTGATATTTCTGCTATCGCTCTTGTTTGTTTCTGGGGGGTCACCCAGAGATCTATCTGGGACCCCAGCATTATCATTCCTTCTGGCCTCAACTGTTACAATTTGTAGATAACACCCAGATACTGTGGTTTCCTCATGCCCTGCGATAGTTCACTCTGGCATATCTGGATTTCTGATGTGTGGAGACTTGGAATCAGATTCTTTCCTGAAGCTCCCATTCATGTCAGTAACTGAAATTTTTCAGTCTGGACTTCATTTACCCTATTGTAGAAGCCATTTGAGTGTGTAGCATTGTGAACATACCATCCTTTCAGTCCCATTGTTATTTCTTTAAAACTACAGTATGTGAAAATCTCAGTACATGTTTATATTGGACATAGTAGCAACTATTGTTACTAATATTTGTTAAAATGACTTGAACTAAAAAGCAAAACCAACACGAGTCCTGAAGGGTTCTGAATTGCTGGCACTTTGAAAAAACTGATGTCTCAGGTAAAATTAAGGCCAGAATGAGGACCATAGATAATTTAGTCTGATCACCTATGCAACACAATGTCATCATGAAGAAGAGTATATATGCCCGGTAGGTAACCAAGCTCTCTTTGAAGGCTTCAAGAGATAAAGAATGCACCACTTCCTTAAGTGTCTTGTGATTAACCACTGGAACCTTCACTGTTTAAAGACATTGTGCCTTATTTCCAATTTGAAGTTGTCTCGCTTTATTTTCTAGCTGTTGGTTTTTGTGCCTTTTTTTGGGGGGTAGATGAATACCCAATATATCCTCCGCAGGAAGGTTCTTATATACTGCAAACAGTCACCTCTTGATCTTCTTTTTGATAAGCTAAACAGAGCTCCTTCAGCCTCTCCTGTAAAGCACTTTTTTCCAGCGCTTGAATCATTTGCATAGCTCTTTGTTGTACACCCTCCAACTTTTCAACATATTGTAGAAAATTGAGAGAAGATTTTTTCCAAGATTTTTTTGGAAAAAAAAACCAAACCCCTAACATTTCTCAATCTTTATGAAAATCAAGTTAAATAAAGGTAAAAAAAATCAGTGGTGTATTAACTCATTGTTCTGTCTCTTTCAGGAATGAGCCAGTTTCCTCAGCATGTGCTCCAAATTCACTGTTAGAAGAAAGCGTTAGCATGTGTTTACAGACCGGACCCACAGAGGGAGCTACTAACCATATGGTGACACCAAATGAACCAAAAACTGAGCATGCTGTTCAATCACTGCCTAGCCACGCATCGGACGATCAAAAGTTTTACCAGGATATATTGGTAAAAGTATTATAAGCTCTCTGACTGTCTTTCATATCTTGCAGTTGTTTGCCAGTTGTTCTTTGTTGTGCGTTCTCATAACCAGAATGGGCTCCATGCAGTAAACTAATTTGGCTTTCCCATGGTTGAAACTGTGTGTGATTGTCACATCCATTTCTTCTCTCTTATGTTTTCTGTGAGGCAAGCTTGTGACTTGCTTTTCTTAGTTGTGTGTAAACTCCTTCTGCTCCTCCTTCCTTTCTTTTTATATAAATGGTGTGTTTTATTTTGTACACCTCTTAACTCACACTGTTTAGTGATAGCAATCGACACAAACTTGGGAAATGCAGCACTGCTGATTTTTCTCAGTTGTATTGGGGCAATGCTATTAAAAATTGTACCTGCTAAATTGCCCCAGACTACGATTTTAGGAGAATATAGCAGACTTTCTACTAAGATGTTTTGTTTTCAGTTGATTGTATAACTACATAAGACTTCAAATTAAAAAGAATGTTAAATTTACCCATTTGCACACATTTCCATTTTGAGCTAATGAGTGCCTTTAAGTTAGTATTAAGGTACTTAAGAGTCTGTTCATGTCTAAATACGTGTAATTTAATTTGGCTTCTTTGTCAGAACAAGTTATTTACGAACCTAGCTGTATTGTTTGATTTGGCATAAGTATGCCATAGATAACACAAAACTGGATTCTGTAATAATGGAGTTTGTCATGTTGCTGGGCCTTTGTGTGGACCAACTCACCATGCTTATGCTTTTTTCTTTATGCAGGGTCAAGTAAACCACTTCTTAAAGTTATCCTCTGAAGAAAGTGATCCTACATCTACAAAACAAGGAATGGTCAACAGTGATGATACCATATGTCGGGATATTAATGACCCAAAGGAAAGGAATTCAGTATCAGGCCTGACTGATAAAGAGAGTGTGATTAGTGCAACCCTTAAGCAATTAAGGAACTTTGGAGTGAGAATTGAATCTCCTAACAAAATGAAGAGCAATGCATACCTAGTAGAGAATGCCAGGTAAAGTGTTAGCCTTCACTGCTTCTTCTTTCAGACAAAAGAACACCTAAAGACCATGAGACCCCAGTAGGCAAGGAGTAATGCTAGGCACTACTAAGGCTTTTAAGAAAAGACCAGTGGGAAATGGTGGACTTGTCCAAAGTCACCCAGTAGGTCTGTGACTAAGTTGGAAATAAAACTGAGGTCTTCTGAGTTCCTGGCCAGTTCTCTAATCACTAGGGCATCTTGAATCTCTGGGTAGGAATCCGCTAACTATTAATAATTAGTTTCTTGGAGGCTTATTGAACTGTTGGTCTTATTTGCAAAATCATAAAGCCTGCCTGAGGCTTCCTGTCATCATGTGACACTACCCGAGTTGAGATCAGCATTGGATCAGGGGTTATGATGATCTTCAATCCTCTAATGGACCTTTTTCTGCAATGTAGATACTATTAGATAAGACACACAACCCTACTCTAAGGTGTGTGCATATTATGTGAACAAATAGTCTGCTTAAAAGCCAGATACAGTATTTGGGGAGCGTAGGAAAGAGGAAATCGCAATGGAAAATGCACACAATATAAAGCTAAATTAATTTAATTTTTCTGTGCTTTGTGTTCTAGTGTATTGGCCTGCATAAATCCTGAAGCTGTGATACCTGGACTAAACTACATGTCATTTGTTAATGTCGGCATGAGTGGGTTAACTCCTGGTGGAGTTGATCTGAGTATGGAGGCAAATGCAATAGCACTCAAGTATCTAACTGAAAATCAGCTGTCACAGCTTTCTCTTAGTCACACAAGTGAAAAAAATCCTGAAGACTCATCTTTCCAAAATCTTTTACATGCAAATATGGACAAGAGCATGGTGGGTCTTAGCTTAATTTCACCAAACAATATGTCCTTTGCAACCAAAAAGTACATGAAAAGATATGGGCTCCTACAAAGCAATGACCATAGTGAAGATGAAGAGGAGCTGCAAACTCAGAACTTCAGCATCTCTAGCAGTAGCAAAAGTGAAGGTCTGTTGGAGACTAACGTTAAGCCCATGCTGTTCTGTAAAGAATCCTCTTCTGAGGGAGTTTGTGAAAGATTATCCATTAACCTGAAACCTTGCAAGGAGTCAACTGGAAGTTATTCTGTGCCTGAATCAAATGATCCAGTATTGAGAAATATTACAAATGAGATCTTGCCTCCAAAAATACTACCTCAACCAAATGAGAATTCACAACAGATTCTGAAGGATTTAAAGCCAAAAGCTAAACTTATAGCTGGGAAAGTAGAGTTCACTCAACAACCTGACCGGGAGAATTTAGGAAATATTCGTATCTTCCCAAAAAATGTACAAACTCCCACCCTTGAGACATTAAATCAGGCAGACAGCATGAGTTCAGTTGGTACCTTTCTTGATGTAAAACACCTCAGACAGTTGCCAAAGTTGTTCTGAACTTAAAAAAAACAAGACTGGCAATCAGCATTTATTGGATTTGAAGCCTTCTCAAGGTTGAACAAGATTAGAAGCCAGTATGTTGTCTTTATTAGGTCACTTAGCTTTCTTGGCAACAAATGACTACCAAAACTGAGTATGTAATATACTGCTGGTCTACCAGATGCTCAGTTGGCAAGGACTTGGCAGTCAGATTTTAAAATGCATATGTTTCTTTATTTACAGTTTGGTTATATCTTTAATATGCAAAAGGTCAATTCAGAATAGTCTGGACATAAGCTGTGCTCTAATATTTTGAATGATTCCTGTCTCCTAACTTTTCAATTGTTCCATTTTTAAACATTATTGATATTTTTATATTTTTGTGCTGCCTTTGAGCTTACAACATAATGTATGGGTGAGGGGTTAAATTCAAATAAAACGAATGCACTGACTTTAAAATCTATCCAAACATACGGGGTTACTGTATATGGAAAAGTATAACCCTAATTTTAATTAGTATAAAATTATTTTAAAATTCAACCAAGATTGCACATATAATAGACATTAAATACATCATGAAACCTAACAAGGAAGTCAGTATAATTTGCACTTAATGTTTATACCTTTGTGTGTGTTTTTTCCTACCGAATGAGTGTCTTCTATTTATTTGAAAAGTACGTTAATCATAAAAGGCAAAGCAAATCCATAAGATACAAAACTGAAATATTGATGTGTTGGTTATTTATGTTTGTGTTGTTTAAGCCTTGTTAAAACACTTACAACTTAGCAATCACAGTTACCTGTAAAACGAATGACTAACCTTAAGTAAAATTGCAAGTATGTTCCACATGGTTTCAAACTTTTTAACAACTCATCTTCAATAAAGAGAAGCAAACTGATTGGTTCACTTTGTTCTTCTGTATTAATATGTAAATTAACCGTGGTCAATACTCTGGAGTACATTACTGAAATAGCTTTTTTTTTTTAATCCTATAAGATGTATATGTTCGTTGAGTTCATGAATCTGTAATAGATTATTTGTTCTTTAAATGCTCCGTTTCTATAATGAGGGTTTTAGAGTCCTGGTCAACAATCAGTAGATTGGGATCTACTGGTAAATCTTGGTGTGTCTGATGGGGTCCTGACTGGTTTGGCCAGGATATTATCAAGTGCTGGCACTTCAGTTGCACCTCCCCTCTCTGTCATGCTGCTCCTGCCCTCTGCCTTGGAGCTGTCCCCCTGGGAGCTCCTGATTGCTGTGCAGGGCGTGGGAGGGACAAGATGGAGATCTCTGATGTCAGTGTCCCTCCTCCCCCGCCCTCCACTCCTGCACCCTATCTCCACACACAGAAGAGGATCGAGAGAGCGTAGCAATGCAAATCTGTCACTCTCACAAACACACACTGTCCTTCACTCATCTCCTGACCCAACACATACATGGGGGGGGGTTGTTACTATTTTTACTGCTGGCAAAGTGTGTTAGTTTTGGGTTTGGACTGGTCTGTGCATTTCATACTTTTCATTTCTCTCTTGCACTTAAATTTAATTCTTTGAGTAGTGAGTTCTAAAATGCCGAACCTGTCCTGGCTGGAGTCATTATCTCTGTGGTAACTGCTGCTCCTTCAAGTGGCTGGAGTGTCCCTGCAGCCCCTGAGAGGCAGAGCAGGGGGTCTCCACATGCTGTCTTGGCCTGCAGACCACTCCTGCAGCTCCCATTGATCAATGGGAAAACAAACTCCTCCCTGGTGAAGGAAATGTCTTTAATGGATCTAGTTTATGCTAAACCAGCATTTTGGTTACAACTTGTTTCAGTGCAAGATGGATCAGTGACAGGTTTGTGTATGATGGTAGATGGGACCTAAGTTTCATCCTATTTCAGGAGCTAAAACCCCTTCTGTCCTCTTTCACAATTCATAACTCGGGGAACAGAAGACTTGCTCCTGAGAACTCCTTTCACATTAGACCACCAAGCCATTTGGAGAAATAGTTGGTTTACCACTGCACTCTTGTTTAACATGAATTCAGTGCCGTGAAGGCAGACAGCTTTCTCCCTGACGCTGTGCTTCCAGTGTGACCTTGAGGAACTTTCAGAAATGAGAGAGTCTCACGACAAGCATTGGATATGGGTTGTGGACAGTAGGTTTTCTCACTACCACTTGCACTGGAAGTTGTTGCAGTGTGTGAAGAAGATAATCATACTAATTCCTTTCTGAATGTGAAGCAAAACCTTTTTCTAGAAGTCTGACACTTGATTTGGCCCAATTGGAATCCAGGACAGTAAATATCTTGTGACAATTCTTAGGAATGTTTATTCTAATTAGTGTAAACTCTCATGCTTAGAACACAAGCCAGGTGCTCCAGATGGAAGCCCGCAAGGGGACCGTGGCATTGCCTCACGGCAGCTAGAAAATCCAAGAACAATTCTGCAATCCACAAAGCTGAGTAACGTGCTTAAGAATGAAATCCACATGTGCCAGCCCAGTAGGCCTAAGCTAGTCAATGGGAGATGCTGTCTGCTGAGGGGCGTACCTCTGCCACACTTAAAGATAAGTCCAGTCAGCAAAGAGGTGCTTAATGTTGCTAGTGGCCTATGAACGGGAACCAAATGGACGTCTTAGGAGCCAATAGTGTTTCTTGCTGGAATGAGTTAGTCTGTCCTGCTCTACGCAAAAAAGCAGGAGCAATAGGGCGCTCAGCTGAGATGTGGGACACCCAGCTTGAAATTGCCCCTCTGGCAGACAGGACCTGAACAGAGGTCTCTCCATTAGCAGAATGTCTCTTAACCCCATGGTTAGAGCATTCTGACGTGCGGCTCTTTCTCCTGTTGAAGCTGTTCTGCTGGGCATAAATAATGAGTTATTGGAGTGGGGGAATTGGACATCCCTCTGCTCCCCACAATTACTTGCTAAGCTTATCTGTAGTGGAATATACTGGTGTTGCAGAGAAACTTGACTTTTTCTCGGTAGTCCAACCCTTTCAACAGGTTAGCATGTCTGCTTGTTAACATCAAGCTGTCCACGGAGGGTGTGTCTACACTAGACTGCTGCAGCTGGCCTGTTCCAGTTATCTTTCGGCTGCAGGGTTGTTTCATTCCCATGTAGATTTCTGGACTCTTGACTGAAGCCTGAGCTCTGAGACCCTGTAATAATTAGAACTGGAGGAAAATACCAAGAATATGTTGTCCTGCATTGTGAAATAGGGCAATGATGAGTTGGCCTCATGGGTTTTATATCTCAATTTCTGCTTCTGTGCAACCAAGAGATCACGCCTACTTTCCAACTGAAGGAATCGCTCATGCTGTAACCTGCCTCACAGTCCCCTTGAGGTAAGTTTCTATCTCCTAACTTTTGGCCCTACTGGATGTGACTGGTAATTTTTAGATCAAGATGATTTTGTTGTGCAAAACTGGAAGTGTAAGAATATATTAAGATATTAACTATTTAAAGGGAAAAAATACTGGCATCAGCTCGACTCCAGTGGTCTTGATGTACATACTTCTGTCTACGCTATGACCGGCTGTATCATGTCAAAAATGGATTATTTAATTAACAATATGCTTCCTTTTGGACCCTCTGGCACCCTCCCCCCGTTGCCACTATATTCTGAAGCAACCTAAGAACCTTTTCTTAGCTTCAAATGTCTAGTAATCGGGTGTAAACACGCTAGCTATCTGGATGTTTTTGCTCAAGTGACAATCAAGTGGCATTTGTGCTATATGTTGCCAACCCCTGTTTTAGACTTTGTTGACAAAAGAAACCATTCTTCATACCTAGAATGGTAATTAAAAAAACAACCCTCAGCTGTCAGAGCACATAATCTTGAAGCAGGATTTGGATTCCATGGCAAATTCCACAAACCATAGAATCATGAGATGAACAGGACCCTGGATGAGTGTAACATTAGCTGGTATAGAGGAAATAGCCCTTAAAACCATTCCTCTTTCCATAGTGCCGTAGTACATTATACTTCAGAGGAAAACAAAACTTGTTCTTCAGATTAAAAGCTTCAGAGGGTAACCTAGTTAGTCTGTATAGTATAAACTTAAAAAGCAACAGATAGTCGGGTAGCACTTTAAAGACTAACAAAATATGTAGATGGTATCATGAGCTTTCGTGGGCACAGCCCACTTCTTCAGATGACCAGAGTGTTGGATGTCCAGAACTACATTATCAACCTACCAAATGATTAAGGTGCTAATGACTCTTTGTCTGTATAGTATCTGGTGTTAGTACTTTTCTTCTCTATTGCCCACTAATAGTTCTTATCTGCTTCTTTTGACTATCCAGTCTGTCGGTGAGTATGACTATTTGTTTTTCCTGTTACATTCCAGCTCAACTTTCCCCTTGATATTGTTATACTTACTACCTCTTCTTGTTTTCCCCTCTCCTCCCATTTTTTCTTTCTTCCCCCTTCTCCCCTATTTATTTTAGTTCTGGACATCCAATACTCTGGTCATCTGAAGAAGTGGGTTGTGCACACGAAAGCTCATAATACCATGTACGTATTGTGTTAGTCTTTAAAGTGCTACCCGACTATTTGTTGCTTTTTAAATTTCTTCAGATTAAGTACAGTTTGGAAATAAAATGGGCCACTGGGCTATTCGTGATTCCTTATACTGCTAGATAGCCAGGAATTTTCAGTGAGAGTGGCAATACTTAATAAAAACAGGTGAAGACTTAATAAAAACAGATTGGGGGCAGAGGGATGGTATTAGCTCTGGTTTGGTGTAGGCTAGAGTTTGAATGTAAACAAAGTGGTGTCAAGGGACAGAGCTCAAATTAATGGCATAAAATTTAACTGAGCAGTTACTAATCCAATCAGGTAGGACTAAAATAGCTGAAGTCACACAATTTTTCTATTGTTTCTAAGTGTTTGTACTTTCATCACAGGCAATGGAAAACTTGCACCCTGGGGATTTTTTTCCCCAAACTGTTTGGATCAAATTACGTGGTGTCAGCACCCCTGCCATCTGTGAGTAAGCACGTCTTTGTAGCTGAATTACCTGCCCTTCCTAATTCACTGGGAGTGTGTTGGTGGAGGCTAAGATGTGTAGGCTGTATACTACAAAGAAAAGTTGGGAAAAGATAAAGATACGCAAACTGCAGTTTGTCTTTCCACTTTTCTTTTGGGAAAAACCTCCTCTTTCAGCACAACCCTTCTTCCTCCTACAATGAGGTTTTCTTAATTTCTTTTGAAAAAGTGGACTTGTTCCTTGGATAAGAGCTGCAGCATAGCATAGCCTAAGGGGTTGTGACAAATTGGTGGAGATGTCAGGGTTTCTTTTATTTGAGTCAAATAGGATCCACCCAGGCTCTGGTGCTACAGGATGGTGATGGTTAAAGTTCTCTGCAAGGCATTAGCCCCTGGGCATCTCCCCTGAAATCAGCCTGCTTCTGCTCCAATGCAGGGGTCAGAGGCCAACCCCCCCCCCCAGTTGTGTATGTTCCAACTCGGCACAGTGTATTAAAAGGGGGTGGGGGAAGATACAGCTGGCTGCAATAATTCTAAGGCAAGGGGGCAACTCCCATTGATTTCAGGGGCCGGCAGAGAGTATCACCCCGTTAACTGATCCCTGAAGCCACCTGGCTTTCCCCGGCTGGGTCCCTCTCTCCAAACACCTTCGTGCAAAACTAGCCCCCGCGGGTTGTGGGTCGCTACGGGGTCTGATGTGAAAGTCCTGGGGCGCGGCTGGCTAGGCAGATCGCGGGCACAAGAGTCTTGACATCCTCCCCCTCCCAGCCCCGCTTCCTGGGGCGGAGAGGAGCCGGCCTGGAACGATCGTGTTTCCTGGAGGGAGCTGCGAACACGGCGCAGCAGATAGCCCGCTGGTCGTGACTGCCATCCCTCGCCATCAAAGGCCGCCGGGCAGGAAACCGGTCCGGGGTGGGGAGGGGGTGTCTCCTGCGGGGGCCTCGCCGAGGCGTTTTAGGGCGATTTCAGCCGAGGAAGCTCAGTGACACTTTGTGTAGAGGGGGATGGGGGGGGGGAAGCGGGTTTCCAGGCCAGGTGGGATACTTTGCTGGTTGGCGATGAAAGAATGTGTGTGCGTGTGCGCGCGTGTGAATGAGTGTGCGCGTGTGAGTGTGTGCGCGTGTGAGTGAGTGTGAGTGTGTGCGTGTGCGCGCGCGTGTGAGTGAGTGTGTGTGTGGGGGGGTGATACATAGTTTCTGCTCGTCCTTCCGCTGCAGAGAGCGAGCTGGATCTCTGCACGGAGCGGGGCGGGCGATCCGAAAAGCCCTCGGTGTTGCGCGGCTTGTGTGTTTTGCGCGCGCAGCTCCTGCCAATTGCGCGGCTAACTGGCCGGCGGCTTGTGCGCGCCGGGAGCCAAACGCATTGGCCAGCCTGGCTGTAGGGGGAGAGGAGGAGTCAGGGTCCAGGACAGCAGGGGAGTGGAGGGGGAGGGAAGAAAAGCAGATGATCAGCCCGGCCCCAAGTTGGGGGGAAGCAGGGTTTGTAGTTGAGGCTGAGGGCCCAGCGGGATCGGGCCCCGCGAGGCTAGATACACAAATAAAGAGCTGGGGGTGGGGGGGCCCTGTGGCTTGGCTTGTTTTTCCTGCTGCTCTGGGCGAGCCAGAAATGATCCGAACTGCGCGAAAGGGGGCCTGTTTTCAGCCACCGGCTTTCGTGGGGAATGGGAACTGGGTGCCTTGGGCAGCACGTGGGGTCTGTGAGCGGTCCCAGGCCCCTTGAAAGCTACACACCGCAGCGCCTCCCCTCCCCATGGCGTTTGCAGTGTAAGGGCTTGGACACACACGTCTGGTTGCATCAGGGGCAAGGGGCTGCCTTGAGAAGAGCCAGCCTCTCCTGGAGGCATCCCGTCCAAGGCAGGGCAGCAGGAGGCACCAAGGTGGGGGGGGGCCAGACATCCACTGCTGCACACCTCACGGCTCCTCTGGCCCTCCACCCACCCCCAGAGATACACCTGGCCTCCAGCTGTTATAATGCAGGAAACAATAAACTAGCATTGGGGTGTTAGTGCCCCAGCAATACAGTCAGTTTGGGAGTCATTTTCCGGATGACATTTAGAATCACAGAACACTTGAACTGGAAGGAACCTCAAGAGGTCAAGTCCAGCCCCCTGCCCCCTCCCCAAGCACCATAGATCATCCCTGACAGGTGTCTGTCTAAACTACTCTTAAATATCTCCACAGGTGGAGGAGATTCCACAACCTCCCTGGGCAATTTATTCCAGTGTTTCACCACCCTGACAGCAGAAAGTTTGTTTTTCCTAATGTCCAACCTAAACCTCCCTCGTTGCAGTTTAAACCCATTGCTTCTTGTCCTACCATCAGAGGCCAAGGAGACCAGTTTTTTCTCCCTCCTCCTTGTAGCACCTGTTTAGGTACTTGAATATCACTATCATGTCCCCTCTTGGGGTATTCTGCACAGCAGCACTGGCTCAAAATAAGCTATGCAATTTGAGCTCTGCAAATTGCATAGCTTCTTTCTAGAACATCTATTTCAAAATTTGGCTCTGTCTACACAGCACAAAATGTTGAAAACCACCCTCTAATCCAAAACAACCTTCATTCCTTGTGGAATGAGGCTTACAGGGACATTGGAATAGTCAGCCTGTTCAATTTCACAATAACAGGTTTGCTGTGAAAATGAGGGGTAGCTATTTTGGGATACTCTGGTATCCCGAAATAGCTTTGCAGTGTAGATGTAGCCTGATCAGTCTTCTCTTTTCCATACTGAACAAAACCCAGTTCTTCAGTCTTCCCCCATAGCTCATGCTTTCTAGATCGTTAATCATTTTTGTTGCTCTTCTCTGCACCCTCTCCAATTTCTCCACATCTTTCCTGAAATGCGGTGCCCAGAACTGGACACAATACTCCCATTGAGTCCTAATCTGCAGAGTGGAGCAGAAGAATGACTTCTTCTGTCTTGCTCAGAACACTCCTTTTAATGCATCCCAGAATCATAATGTAAGCTGGCTTCGCACCTCCACAGCCAGAGCTCAATACAGCTATGCACAAGCCCCAGCTGAATTCCCTCTGGGTTTGTCTACACTACCACCCTAGTTCGAACTAGGGTGGTAGTGTAGACAAACCCAGAGGGAATTCAGCTGGGGCTTGTGCATAGCTGTATTGAGCTCTGGCTGTGGAGGTGCGAAGCCAGCTTACATTATGATTCTGGGATGCATTAAAAGTTATTTGCTTTAATTCTTAGTTTATTGTTTGTGTGTCCCGCTTGGTGTTGTAATGGACGGTGTTTTCTTCCTATTGTTTATTGGCATTTATGTAGGACCTCTCACTTATGGGTTTATTTTTGCAAGACTAGTTCTGAGATTGCTCTTTCAATCGAAGTTATCAGCAGGTAATTTTGTCTTGTGTATTTGCGAAGAAACAGCAGCGATGCCTGTAAAACGGTTGGTTCTTTCTTGTTATATTGTATTGTGGGTTAACTCGTTGCAAGAGACCTCACAAAAAGCCAGTGTAGACACTCTGACTGATCCAGGTTTATCTTTTCCCCTGTATGGATCCCCTGCACATTGTCCTGCTTAGGTTTAAAAAGCAAACGCAGGGTACATCTACACTGCAGAATAAGGTTGAATTAAGATCCCCATCTTGAGCTACATTAATTGCATTGCTGAAATCGAAGGACCTTGACTTTTGGCGCTATCCACACTGCAGGAAGTTGAAGAGAGAACATGCTCTTTTCAGCTTCCCTTACGCCTTGTGAAAGAAGGATAACTGGCATCAACCTGAGTGCCCCTTCTCAGTCAAAATGAGCGTGTCTTTACTAGACGGGCAGTTTCGAACCCTGGAAGATCCATAGCAACAGCTTCCATCTTCACTGTAGTGTAGACATACCTGTATTTCTGAGAAGGGCCAATCTGCTGTAAAGGACAGAGACCCATTTTCCACCTGATCTACTTCATAAATTGCACTAACTTGTTATCTTGGCTGATCATTCTGGTTTCAGTCTTATCCTACTGTGTCGCCTAAGATTGTCTTCCCCCACCCCGACCTTTCCACCACGCCTTTCACAGGCCAACAACATTATATCCAGAATGCTTTGGTGTTTTCCCATTTCAAGTTGATTTGGCTTTTTGTTCTCTCCCACATAAAATCCCCGAGCCCCACCTGGCCTGCGGAATGTTTTTTTAACCTCAGACCTCAGCCACCCCCTCCTAAATTGGATCAGATTAAATTGAAACTAGAGATCTCCCCAATTTATGCCTGCGGTGAGAAATATCAGAGGGGGGAGGGAGGAAGCTTGCTTAAATGTTCCCTGCCAATTTGTTTTATTTACCCTATTGTCCCAGCCAGTCCCCCTCCCCCTCTCTCAATATCGCCAGCAATTTATTTTGGCTCATTAAATTTAATTAAGAACTGAGTAGGTGTTCCATATTTAATCAAAAAAATGCAGGGGCATAATAACCTCCAAGAGGACTAAAATAAAGAATTGCTATTCAAATGTGAGCAGTCATGGTGCATTTTTTATTCCTCTTTTCTACGGTGTCTTTTTAAGAGCATCTAAGCACACACACAGCAAAAGCTATAAGGCAGGCATTCCAAAGTTATTCCTATGCATATCCCTGCAATAATTTTCCGCTTTCCTTCGATAAAATTGCCAAATAATAATGAATCATTTCATAAATAATGGGCTTAGAAGCTTATCAGGGCAGGCGGGCCATTGCTCGGGCTTTATCTCTGTTGGCCACATTGCTTTAGTGTTCCGTTCTCCATACTAAATAGGAAACTGGACGTGATGTGGAATTAGATCCTGCCCGAAAGAAGCCAGCCAGCGCTACCGTAAGAGAGAGAGAGAGAGAGAGAGAGAGAAATATAGCAGCGATGAATAGGCCACAAAATGGCTCCACTCACTTTTACCAATGAAAAGCAAATGGTGAGTATATGGATCTATGTCTATAGAAAAGGGAAAGCGTTCTATTTTGCGCATTGTTTTCAGCGCTTCCTGTGGGAGATTCTATTTTCACATTTGTTGCGCCATATGAAAAACCGCGCAACGATTTTTTTAAAAAAATCCGCAGTTGTTTAACGGGTGGCGGAAGGGGGAGGGGATGGATTTTTTTTTCTTTTGGGGGGAACATTTCGTTGGGCACATCGATCCCCCCCAAAGCCGGAGATTTCGATGCTGCGGAGAGGAGGCAGGGGAAGCTGCCCTTTCTTCAGGGCAGATGCACAAGCGGAGGAGAGATAGGGGTGGGTAGGTGTGGGGCAGGCTGGGTTTTGTTCCGCTTTCCCGTGATCTGGTTTTGCTGCGGAGCCGGTTCGTCGGAAAGGCCCTGTTGGGATCGAGCTGGCAAGAAGCAACTCCGACATAACGTTTCATTTCTTTCTATTTTGGTGTCAGTTCCTAGAGAGGAAATGAACTAATTTTTGGATTAATGGGTAGATATTTCACGTCAGCTCCACAGTGCTAAGACAAAGAATCTAGGACAGAGGTTCCGACCAGCCCAACTAGGAAGGGAGACGGGAAATGAAGACTTTAACCTCATAGGATCCCAATTCCCTCTCTTCCCTTGTTTTTATTCTCGTACGAAAATTCGCTCCGAAAGAGGCAAATAAAATCCGATTCTCTGCAGAGGCGTTAAAAGTGTGATCTATTCTGAAGGCAAAGAGGGAAATCGGTTGGGATATTTATCTATCTTCCACCGAGGGAAAAAAAAAAGAAACCGTTAGTCTTTTTTGCTCTTGCATTTGAACAGGCTCGGGAAATGAGAAATGCTCTCTAGAAATGCTCAGGAAAGAAAGTGCTTTGGCTTTATGGATGTTTGAGGCTGTGGCGTGTATTGAGCTGTAATTTTGTCTTGTGTATTTGCGAAGAAACAGCAGCGATGCCTGTAAAACGGTTGGTTCTTTCTTGTTATATTGTATTGTGGGTTAACTCGTTGCAAGAGACCTCACAATGAAATATTTCCGCTCTGGAATGTGAGAGAGAGAGAGGGGAACAGACAGACATTTTAAGCAAAGATATTAACACAGAGCGTGTATAGATCCTTCAGGGTTGCTTCACATAAGCCCTCACAAATACCGGGATTTAAAAAAAAATCATGAGGATTAATAGTGCTAACGTGATTTCTAGGAGGGAAATATTTCTGTTGTGTGGCTTAAAAAAAAATCATGCAGATTAATAGTTAATTGTATGCTAACGTGATTTCGAGGAGGGAAATATTTCTGTTGTGTGGCTGGGAATGAAAATAACGGCTGTTCAGAATCGGATTCCATCTTCACCGCTCGGTGAACAATTCTGGCAAAGACAGTGCTAGTATTAAAACCGTCCACCTGTTTATTCGTCCTCCACTGGCTTTTAGAGTCAATTTGGAAGGCCCTGCACCGTTAAGATCATTTCTGGAAATCAGCAGACACGTTGAGCATCAATTTGAGAAATGCTGGGCGGACACAAAACCCTTTGGTTTCAGCTATAGTCGAGTAACACAAACAAATGGTTTGGTTTATTTCGACCTCTATGCCCAATGGGCTATAGAGAGAGAGAAAATCTTGTGTTATAAATGTATGGCGTTTACATTCATGTTAAACGCCTTTATTAATGTACATCAATAGGAAGAACAAGATTTTTAAATGTATTCTATCTATCTATCTATCTATCTATCCCCATACACCCCATCTATCTATCTATCTATCTATCTATCTATCTAGAATAAATATAGTGTGTCTAGACAGATAGGGTATGTTTCTATCGACCTTATTAATAATATAAATATCCCTGTACACATTGAAACGAAATAATATCGATTTTTAAATGTGGTGTGCAAATCCCAAGCCCAGCTCACGCCTAAGGGGACATTATATTTGGGTCGGGTCGCCCAGTCAGTTATTTCTGATTGGCTAGGGTGGTGTTTGGCAGGCATCCGTTGCCACACACCTCTTCCCCAGCGTTTGCTAGCCTAATGCCGATTTCTCCGGCTCCAAAGGATTTCATGTGCTGTTGATCTAAATGAACCAGGGCATTCTCTCCCTCCGCCCCCCATCCACCCCGCCGCTTCGGAATTAGCAGCCGTGAGTCGGAGAGAGTCTTTGTTGGCACCGGGGACTCCAGGTGTTCCTATTTCTCACGGATGTGAATCGCTGCTAGCCATGCCATTTTTTTGGAGAGGTGGCTGGGAAGGGACCTGGGGTTTTTTTTGCAGGGCTTCTCTGCACACGCTTTGCCCCGCAGAAGCAAAGGGAATTAAGCTTAGGGAGACTGAGTCTGGGTTCAGATCACTGGGCCTCCTTTTTACACCCGCCCTGGAGCGAGCAAACCAAATTACAGGAGGAAGCGAAACGGAAATCCTTATTTGTCAGCGTGAAATGCTTTTTCTGTGAAGATACATCCAGGTGTTTGTCTGATGGCAGATGAAACAGACACACTAGTCAACCTCTTTTCCAGCTGATGGCTCCTTGGCTAACGGATAGGGAAGGCCTTCACATGTACCTAATATATTTTGGATAGACCAGGTAGTACAGCTGTAGGATTTGGGTCTTTTGGCCCGAATGCATGGGCCATTCGGCTTCCACCAAAAACGTACGGTATAATATGTCCCCAAAATAGAAAACATCAAATAGACCCGATGCTGCGTCCTTACCCAAGAACAGGCACCAGACTAGACATTTGTTTTGGAACAATATAACGATTTCCCGTTGCTAGGCGCATTTGATCTGACTTCACATCCTGGCTGCTGGTCCTTTGAAATGAATAGGAAATGTAACATCTCTCTCTCTCCCTCCCTCCCCCCGCGTTGATCGATCTAATCTTCCATCTAAAGTATTGGCTACGTTAATACCGAACTATTACATTCTTATATTTTGTAGCCAAACCATGGTAGTAACGTATAGATGTGAGTGAATATATTGCAGGCTCCTTAGGCAACAGAATCATCACAATAGCTTTGGTCAGGGGTGTGTGTGTGTGTGTGTGTGTGTGTGTGTGGTGTGTACAAATATACACATTCTGTATATATTTCTTGGCAGAGTTATTGTGGTCACTATGTTGCATGAGTAGCATTTACTACTTCAACTATATATCTCTGTATAACAATATAAGTACCACAATGACTTTGCTGAGAAATATATACATTGTATCTCAAAATGTAATGGTTCGATATTAATGTAATTGTAATAGAATGTAACATTACTTTAATAGCACACTACTATAATATAACGCTATATATTTATATATATAAAATCACTGGAATGTAATATAATCGCCACAATGGCCCAGTATTTTACAGTCTCTCTCTGTGTATGTACCTATAACAGTGAGTGTAGGTGCCCATACAGAAATATAGCACCCATCCAAACAGCTCTCGAATTAGACTGTTACAAGCCAGTCCCGTTACGCCCAAGCTATTTCTAGCTGGCCCACAAGATACCGTTCATCTTCCCATCAATAGTTTCCATGAGGCTGGGTTGGGTTCCAGGGTGTAACCGCCGGGAGCAGCAAAGCGGAGTTTCCTGTTTAGCTCTTTCCTTCAGTCGGCATTAAGGGCAACACAACGAAAACCCCGAAGTTCTGCTTTCCCGCTTGGGTGAAATGGGTTCTGTTTTATACACAATCCGGGCCGCGCCTCCACACCCTGGCGCGTCTTCCCTCCCCCTCTCGGCCCTGCCAAAAAAACGGGGAGGGAAGAACCCGATGCCAGCTGCGGCTAAAATCACCTGCCCGCGGAGCAGCAAACGCCGGAGCAAGGAAAGGACCGCGGGGCTTAAACGGGCAACCTAGAGTTTAAGCTAAGGCGCCCCCCCCCCC